GTTTTGTTTTTGTTTAGCTGGAGAAAATTGTGGCACAACCAGTCATTAATTTCCTCAATGCATTTACCAAGAGCCTGTACAGGGCCTCGGTCTCCTGGTGACACTGTGATATATATTTATATCTGCGTAGCTGTGATGTTTTTTTTGTTGTTGTTCAAACACAGAGAGGGGGGTTTAATTTGAGTGAATAAACAGCACGTTTGTCTGCACAGACCATAATAATAATGACAAGCAGGTGTTTGTTCACATCTGAAACTGGATTTAGAAATGAACTAAACTAAACAAAAAAAAAAATACAAATAATAAAAAAATAAACATAAATGAAGATAAAAATCCATCAGTGAGACACAATGAAGTTTAATGTGTAAACAAGTTTTGTTTTCTGCTCTACAGCTGTGACATTTTAATTTGTTAACATGATTTTATGATTTCATATTATTTTATGTGTTCATGGTAAACTTCTCAGACAGACTTGTTTTGTATAGATTTAACTTCTGTCAGTGAGAAATGCTTTTAGTACATCACTGTACTTTAACATCTGTAAAGCAAAAAATAAAAACATACTGTACATTTATAATTATTTTGTATTTATAACATACTGAGTATTTGACAAAGATACAAAACAGGACATCAGTTAACATATGAAAGATGTGACACACAGATGTTGTTTCTGGGTTTGAGGTCAAAGGTCAGCTTGATACATGGATCATGTTATTTGTGTTGAACGTGTAACTGCAGATCTGTCAGTATGTGTGAACTAGTCTTTATTCCCTGATGTAGGAATGATGTCTTTGACTTGTTTGAACAGTTTATTCTGAGTTTAAAGTGAAAAATATTTGAATCCAGGAGGATAGTGAGTCTTTTTAGCTGCATTATCATGTTGATGCTGTCCATCAGCTCAGCTCCACAAATGACCGTTAGACTGAGGTCACTTCCTGTCACCGCCCTGACAGAGTCCTTCAAAGGCTGATGACATCACAGCAACGAAGGCCGTCCTGGTCCAAAGGTTCCTTTTTTTTTTCTTTTTTTTTTTCCTGTCCCGTTTGGCTCTTTTGTCATCAGAATT